AACCTTGAAGGTCCTTGCCACCTCGACTTGCCTTAGAAAGGGTGAGGGCGACAACTCCATTACTGCTGGGTTCACCAGCATCTGCATCTTTCTTAACATCGATCACGGCTATGCGAGGAGACTTGATAATCTTGTTCTTGACAACAGTTTGCTTAACAACGTTAACAGTCTGAGTCACCAAACTGATCGGTTAGATCTATTTATAGGTTATGATTTGTGAGGTGGCTTGTGTCTTTTAATGTACAAATGATGAAATAAATTCCAGAAATGATTTAAGTAATGTATGAATGTCGAAAAATTTTGAAGTATGGTACAATTCTCACAAAAACAAATCAAAACAATGTACCCGTCACAGATCTTGCTGACGAACTGGGTTTCAGTGTCGTTATCAGCTGTTTTAAAGTCGGACTTCACAAGGTTAGACACGGTGTTTAGGACGCTCTGGGCCACTGCCTCGGAGATTTCCCCGCTTTTGACGATGGATTTTAGAACATTAGACACCGCCTCTACGTCACCGATACCGTTCATACCCTCATTATTTGTCATCTTCTCCATCTGTGCCGTCTTATCTTCATTCGAGGCAGTCTGAGGAGAATGTAGTTATATGACCGGCCATCAACATAAACAATTGGAAAATTAACTATGGTTTAAGCTAGTTGTATAAGATACCATATTTAACTTTTTGTTTACTTTTTTAACTGATATGAGTCATACTAAACCTTATCGTTGGCTAGTTGTTCTATAGCTATCGTATTTTTAGTGTTCTTGCAATAGTAAGTCCCCTCCACATATAACTCCTTGTTCCTCTTCATCTTGCAAGTGAAAACCGCCGTGAAGTCATCAAACTGACATTTCTTGTACTGTGAGCTTTTACCGAGCCCCAGCCAGCCGTGGCTGAATGTTCCGTACTGCGTTCGATAGGTTTCAGAAACACAGCCTTGTCCCAGACCACCTGAAACTTAGATCATTTTTATTTTTAAAATAAAAAAAAAATCATATTTGCACTCTAAAAGTAGAAGTAAAAAAAGGGGGCATTTGCGATGGTCCCGGGTCCACTCTTGACTCTACCCAATTTTTGGTTTGCTTCAAAATTCAAAATGTAAAATACGAGTTTAAGTTCTTGCATCGTATTAACCTCAAGCATAGGTATCATACTAAAACTTGTAACCTGGTTTTGGACAACTAACCTGGTTTTGGACAACTAACCTGGTTTTGGACAACTAGGCTCCGCTAGATAAGTAAAAGCGTCTCCAGACGTGCATGTTACTTCACTGCTCCCTTTGTTGAGAGCTCCAGAGTACGAGCATGTAACTTCCACTATGGTTCCGGACAGTACTGGAAACTGTCTTGTCGTTTCGATCGTACCCGTCCACTCAGCCTTCAGTCCACTGCAACTATCTGCATAGTGATGTAAGGTTAAATGATTTTTTATTCGCATTATTGATGAAACTTATGGATTTACCGTCCACCTAAAATTAGGAAATAACAAGGAAACTGCAATTATTAATGGATTGTGATCATAAACCACTTTTAATTAATTAGTAACGATACTTAAAACCAATTGTGAGCGACATTATTATGCAGCACGATTGAAATGATCAAAAGTAGTTATTTAGACACAGTGTCAGAACTCAGAGGGGAACATACTTTGGTTCTGATTAAATATGACACCTAATCTGCCAAACTCACCAAAACGTACCAAAAAACGTACGTAATACTTGAAACCCTCGAAATCCCATTATCAGTGTTCAGTATGCTAGCAATAGTGAAAATACATATATATACTGATATTGGCCTGGTTAAAAATACAAGCTGTTAATTTACTTGGTCCATAGTAATCTGACGCAGTGTCGGAGGAGAAACTTATTTTTGTCACATTTTTACCCCAGATGTTTCTCCATCTACGCCAATCACACGTTGTGTCTGAGAGCAGAGTGTTGAGCACCTCCACCTCGTTACAGTGTATCACAAGCCTGATATCTGCACTTTTGGTGAGGGTGATACGCCATATCTTGTCTGCATCACTGGGAGGTGTTATGGAGAAGTTAGACCAGGAAGGCTTGCACCAGTCGAGTTTGTATTTTAGAGTTTCGCCGAAGTTGATCCATACTTTTCCTGCATTGTACTTCCAAGCAGAGTAGAAGGACACTGTCAGGTTATCTAGACTCTGCAACTCGCTGTTGGTTTTAACTTGTAAAGGTACTGAGGCCAGGTCCCATTCTATGTACGCATCGTCATCAGGTTGCACTGGTAACCAACCTGTGTGGTATTAATAAGTGACGTCACGTCTGGTATTAAGTGACGTCACGTCTGGTATTAAGTGACGTCACGTCTGGTATTAAGTGACGTCACGTCTGGTATTAAGTGACGTCACGTGAACTGAGAGAAATGAATCTCATCAGTGTGAATTTTGTGATAGCACTCCTCCGTCAATCAATGTAATACAAGGTGGTCCTATATTTTGATTTACAAACAGATTAATCAGCTTCAGACTTAAGATTCGTAATATAAAGATGCTAATAACTGGTTGTTACTTTCACCCAGCTCGGGTTCAGTCTAGTGCATTCTGGTGGAGTGTTATAGCTTAATTCAAACAATCTCAATCAGATATCGTTTTATATCAAATTTAACCCAAGCACGTACCAACTCAATAACAGATCAATTTGGGAATCTTACCTTTGGTCCCAAAACATGACTTATAAGCTGTAAACCAGCCCGACCGGGAACCAATGTCCGTGTACTTTAATCTATAACACAGCCTCCTGGTCCAATGAGCTGGGCTTATAAGTACTGCTAGACAAAGTTCCTCTTCATTACACCAACTTATACAATCGTCTTTGTTGATCAGGTTTTTCTGTCCAATTCTGTTAGAGTCTCCTAGTCCTATGTTACCGGTGTTATTATGCCAGCAACCTGACATTACTAAGGTAAGTAACATTTTTCACAACGATAAACCCCCCTTTTGAGTCTTGGTATTTCGTTAAATTTAATAAGCGACCATCATTCATTACGAAAAATTGAAATATGTATTCTTGATTCAAAGTCATTCAAAACTAGAAATTAGGGTTAAAAATGAAATGTAAGATCTTACTCATACTTTGTGTTGCAGAGTGCAGTAAGTACGCTATGAAAACGATAACAAGCTTCATGGTATAACGCTGAACATTTTACCTGGAAATATGACAAAAACTTTTGATTGATGTTTAAAGATCTCAGAGAACTTTGAAGACTTTGAAGACGTTCAACAGAAAATAATAAATTTTGAATCCAGAGCCCAGACACTAGAAATAGAATAACGTTTGATCATTTTTCTACAACACCTGTTGAATAAAGTTGTTACTAACCATTAACGCTGTTCAAGATTTGAGAGCGAGAAAAAGAAACTCCGCTGAATACTGCACTGATATACGATAAAACTAAAAGGACCGATTTGATCTTTGCGTGTCATTAGCGCCCATCGCCTTGCTCGATCCTGGTAAAGCAGATCACCAATTTTGAAGCCTGTAGTCTTTTATTCAACCTGAGATGCATAGAAATATCACGGCGCCTTACGAAAATTTCATTGTTCTGAGATAACTAATGCACGATTAGGTTCGTGTGTGAGAGAATCAGGTCTCGTCTTCTAGTGCTGCAGATTTGAATATTTATCGAGAGAATCGGGTCATGTCTTCTAGTGCTGCAGATTTGAATATTTATTGTTACTAGAAAACCGGCCGAGAGCTTTGTAGTACACGGCATGTAATAAAGATGGCAGATCGTGAATGGCAGCTATCTTACTTATAGGCCATTGAAATTGTATGATATCATGCTCGCAATAAACTTATAAGCATTGCCCAACATACCTAAGAATCTAAGATAAAGAGCTCTGGAGTTATTTCTTACGATGAGACGAAAAGTTTGGTTTGATTATTACTGATTAAGAAACAATGAAAACTAACTCGTTACTTTATATTTGTGTCCAAAAAAGGTTTATTGACACTCCATAAAGATATAAATAAACGGTAACAACTCATATTTATTATCTATCTGTAGAAAACAACATAAAAACCGTTCTTTACAATAATAGACCGTGATCTAATTTAAACTACAGTTACAGCTCTATCGTAGTATTGTAAAACTTCTATTTTAATTTGGCTCTTTTGGAAAAAATTTGTTTAGTTTTACAACTTACGAATATAATAGACTATAGAAATCTTATCGGTATCAAATAAATAATTAGACAGACTCAATTAATACATTTCCAGAATGAGGGGAAATTGAACCGATTTTTAGATCAATAACAACACGATTACCAATTAATTACAAAACTACAAATCTATTACATTTATCGAGTATTATCAATTATGTAATGGGATGGAAAATTTTTAACCAGGTGTAGCTAGTCCACAGCCCTAGCTCTATAATACGAAGAAATTGTTTCAATTCTAGCTGAAAAGCTCTAATATAATAAATCACAATCTATTATAGAAATTAGGAATTCACCGACATGATGAAGAACCAAGTCTGATATAGCCCATATCAGATGCCACCACAGGATCGGTTACTATAGAAGACTCCAGACAATGTCAAAGCAAATCGGTATCACGGGGTGAGGTGTTGTTTTCACTAATAACAGTTTTCACTCAGTATCATATCAATATTGTCAAAATTTAACTTATTATAGATTTGATTAAAATTTTATACAAAAAGCTGGTCTTAGCGCATGCATCTCAGACAGTACTTACTTGATTTAAATTATTTACAGGATAGTCGGCAAATAATTTACCCTTCTGTAAGCAAACCAGAAAGCAGATGGATCTTCTAAATTTAATTTATATACTGTTCTAATGGATTTCACAACTTTTAATTCTTTAGAAGAAAATTGACATAACCGTGTATTGCGCTGGCAATACCAATTAATTACAAGAACACGTTTTTAAGATTGCATGTAACACACTAATAAAGTTAAACCATAGAATTTTAACCATTTAATTTATCAATTAAACGACTACAAAACTGTGCTATCTTGTGTCCCTTCCACTATTACTGAAAGTTTTACCACCACTAACTAAAAAAGCAGCCTCTCTCTTCAGATCAATAGCATACTGAATGTCCTGACTGATCTTGAGGCTAGTTTTCTGAGAGTTACAGTTGAGTTTAGGACAAGAGTCAGGAGCCATATTAAAAACACCTGGTGGAGGCAGAGTATCGTAGATCTGTATAGCTAGGTTATGTTCTGTAGTTCCACCGTTATTCCGGGGAGCATACACGCACTGTCCTATCGAGTCTAACATGATCTCCTTCACAACCTTGTTTCCAGATTCTCTCTCGATAAGTCTGACCCGCTCACTGGACACCAGGATCTTGAGGCGGGTGTTCACCACACACCAGGAAATGAACTGTTCCTCACGTGACTTGCGGTTCAGTTTCCACAGAGTAGCCATGCCTTGTGCTGTGTCTATGGAGAATGTTGCCAGGATCTCTCCACTGCAACATCGAGGCAGCCGTATTCTTTTTATCTCACCTGAGAAGAAGAAGAATATCGTTATGTTTCTTCCTGTTTATTGTAATTGTAAAACAAAACGTGTTAACACCAAATTATGGTTATACTGTTTGGTTGCTGAGTAGAAATAAACTTACCGATACTGTGACTAGATCGAGTACTCTGCGTAATGGCCAGTGTAGTCCCTGAGGCAAAGTCGAGTAAACCAGCAGCTGGTTTAGCAACAGTTCCAATGAGACCTTTAGCTAGTCCGGTCACTGCCCCCGTCACTCCGTCTTGGTTAATCCCTCTCACTATAGAACTGGGAATGCTGGTAAGCCCTCCGATAAGTCCACTTCTTAACCCCTGCCATCCTGCTCTCAGACTTGCACTTGAACTCTGGTATCTGTCGGGAACAAGATCTGTTATTTGGTTAATTCGGAGAAATAAGAATTTGGTTTGCTTCCACAATCGACTGCATTAATAAAATATAAATATGATACAAAAAGGGAATTGGAAAGAAAAAAAGTAGAGAAAAGAGATTGCATCAGAATAGGAAAGAGCACACGAGAAGACAAAGAGACGCACAAAAAAACAAAAATAAGAAAACAGTCTCCTACCTGGAAGCTCTAAGTCTGTCTCTGTCAGCTCTGAAAGCATCATCTCCACTAACATACGTTAAGACAGTACTAGCAGTTGAACTGAGTTTACTGGCGGTATCTGACATGCCGTGAGCAACACTCTTAACCATTCCTGACACGTCACCATCCAGCCCCACTGAGAGTCCACTCAGTAGATCGTTAAACAGCCCTCCCATGTTACCTGGTGTGAAGTGAGGGTGAAAGGTTGTTAAAGTTTACGTTATCATGGTAGTAACTAGTAGAAACAATGAAATTTGAGGTAAAAGTGATGAAATCAAGTAGAAGGTAAAGTGTCAAACCTGTAATTTCTGAGTTGAGGACTATTTTGAGTTTATGTCCAACTGCGCAGTCCCTGTAGTGTCGTATGATGTTGTCCCTTATAGTACTAGTAGCTGCTATCACATTACTGGTATGGTACTTGTTCAGCTTAAAAGTAACGTCGGAGAAGTTCAGATAAGATCTCATTCCTAATCTTGTGTGGATGTCCTTGAGGTCGTCCTCTAGAACTGGAGCCACGATCAGACTGACATTAACCTGGGTCTGGTGAATTAACATACTCTCAACTAACACGGGATTGTACTCCAACTTCCTCGTACTCAACTTGTACTCCGCTTCTGGATCGTACTTTGGGTCGTCTTTATTTACATCCCCAGCCATCTCAAAAAACTGTATGAGTTTCAGAAGTAAGACCTCGTCGAGCTGGGAGCTGAAGTTTGCGAACAGAGCCTGGACCTCAGGGTACACGACTAACCTGCCATCGCTCCTAACCTCCCTGATCATCCTGAAGTGTACTGTATGTTCTCCATCCCTCATTACCGGGTAGATAACAACAGGAACCAGTGCCTCCCTACACTGATTATCAGCCTGGAATCCTAGCAGATCAAAAACAACAGTAGTCTTGTTACCCGCCAGCTCGGCGTCTAAAGACAGCCCAGGCCCAGTCATGCTGAGATACAATATCTCCTCAGGGAGGTGGTTGATAATAGAGAGGCCTACACCTCCCAGTAACTTTACTTGCAGCTGAAAGGGTTTGGTAACATCCTCCTTTTTAGAGGTGGAGTCCGTGTAGACAGTTTGTTCTCCTGCCACAGCGTCCAGTAGCTTTTTTTTTTTTTTTTTTTTTTTTTTTGGGTTGGGGCACCCACTTTACCTTCCTCTCGGAAGGCTACGTCCGTCTGGTGACTAACGTCTATTGGGGTCCCTCCAGTTGTAGGTGTCACAGGGTACGGGCACTTGGCATGGGCTAGTGCTCCTTACCCCCCGGAGGATAAAGCCTGGTGAGCGACGTTTTCCCGAAGGAAAACTGTCATAATGCTCGTTCTCGGGAGATCACCACCCATGCCTAGGTGATCTCCCGGGCGCTCTTTTAGAACAGGCTGCCCCCTGTCTTTTCTAGTGAGCCGACAGGAACCTACCGGGCATACCTGAGCATCTAGTATCTCTTGCCCAACTCTATGTTTTCTTTATTTGCGCGCGTCTTTGCGACGCGCGCATTCTTGTTTGTAACAATTTTTGCTTTATATTGCGCTATGTCTTTTTTGCTAGTTATGGCGCTATTCTCAGTTGTCCAACCTTTGCGTAGACATGTTTTTCTTAATCTTCTACATAATAACTAACATATTCATCCTCCATCCTTCCTGTTTTTCTTATGTAATTTATTATTTCTGAAGCTTTGGCTTTTTCTATGATAGTTTTGATGTTGGTATGCGTAATTTGTAAAGTTTGTTGTCTTGCCTCTGAGTATGCCGGGCACTTCGCCAAATAATGTTCCGTTGTTTCTAGTTCTGTGGGACAGTGTCTGCAGAATGGTACTACTGTTTTATCTAACTTGTGTAGATTTGCAGCTAACTTGTTTTGTCCTGAAATTATTTGTGTTAGGTATCTAATTTGGTCTCTGCTTTTTGTTGGAAGATGGAGTCCTTGTTTCTCGAAATATTTTCTGATAATTTCCTTATTTTCAACTTTTATTTTAGATGTTTTGATTTTACTCGTGGTGTTGTTCGTTGCTTTTTCCATTATTTTATTTATTATATGTTTTTCTGGAAAATATGTCCAGTAGCTTGATAACCACCGTGGGACCGTCTAGAGAGGTGGTCATCAGCACGGCTCCACAACCTGGTCGGCGCTTGTGGAAGTAGATGTGAGGAGGGTTCTTGCTGACCATGTCTAGTACAGCATCAGATCCGTCATGTAGTAGACCGTTGCGAGGTGAAACAGCTAGCCCTGGCAGCTTGCAGGTTAGATAGCCGTTATCCCGGAACCTCCAGCACTGTGTTTGGTGCCTGTTCTCGTCAGGAGGCTTCACGATCAGGCTGGCGTATGTGCCAGGGTTGGGAGCTCTGCCTGGTATGTCCAGGAATAACTTGGTCTTGAAGTGCATGAGCTGACCTGACTCCTTAACCTGCCACAGCTGACTAAGTGAGTGCGGGTTGTACTGCTTAACAAGCACCTGAACCCCCTGTGGAACGTCCAGCACGAGTCTGCTGCTGGAGCTGGCTAGTTTCTCGTCCACCCTGATAGCTCTAAATCCGGAACTGGAGAGCTGGTTGAGGGGGATGTCCCTCATAGCTGGGGCACCTCCCTTCCAGGTGTCGGAGAGTGTCAGGTAAACTGCGTTCTCGTAGACTAGTGCAGAGAGGTGGGTGTAGGGGGTGGGTGTTATCATCACCTTCATAGGCTCACCTCCCGTCACCTTTAGATCTAGTTCGTGGGGTTTCAAGACGGGCTCATCCCAGTGATAAGGGCACCAGCTACCAGGTTGTAATGTGGACATGTCTGACCGACTCTCTGATTGTCTGTACTCCACGCTTACCAGACTGTGGTTTTCTATTCTGCAAAAGTATTTCCTTGCGTTTGAATTGAAATAAAGACGATCCTGTGTTTAAAATAACTGGATCTTAACTCTAATGATACGTTCTTATGCAACCGAAGCTTTCGCTTCTTCAAACTATTTCTGATAAAATCAATTCCTTACCGGTAAGGGGTAGGGAGATCATTGAAGTCGGAGAATACGACATGATAAGAGCTCCGCTGCAACACCACAGTGCACTGGAGGAATATCTTCCTCCCTCCGGTCCCTCTCATAGATACAACACTGCTTTGTGGGTTGTTTATACAGAATCCACCCGACCACTCACAGTCTACCACGTCAGGAATACATATTGATAGTAGCTGAGGGGGTGAGTGGTAACTAGTGGTAACTAGTGGTAACTAGTGGTAACTAGTGGTAACTAGTGGTAACTAGTGGTAACTAGTGGTAACTAGTGGTAACTAAGATTATACCACAAAACAGGAATAGTTAATTATTTTTAAAAGTTTAGGCAAAAATCTTAAATAATGACCGACCTGATCTAGATCGTTACGAGGCCAGGAGAAGGGCATGATAGAGTTTGGAGCAGCCTCAGTAACTGGCTCTTTGTCTGGAGTCCAGTCTGAGGATTCAGCCCTGGGGGATTGTGGACTAGATATTGGGGGCGACAAAAGTGATAAAGCACTTTAGAGGACCAATTGTAAAGAGTCAAATGTTCAATTCTAAACAGGATATCATCTTGTGGTATATAAGGATTAAGGACTAACTCAGCACAAGAAAATAGTTCTTAAAGCGATGGTTGTCATTTGGGCACCCGAAAAAAAATTGCAAATTTTTAGAGTTAGCTTGTAGCCGATACAACATCCTACAAGTAGGTTAAATTTAGAATTCCGCCACCCCTCCCTGTAGCACGTAAATAGACCCGGAGTAACACGCACGCGAGAGCGGTATTACGAAATGAGGAGGCATCGATTTCACTGGAGTCGGGCCAACACATACTTCACAACACAATACTACGGCTGGAAGCGGTGAATAATAATTGCATTTCATTACTGTAAACTTTGCAGTGGATCCCAGAAAATGCACCCACTGCAAACTCAGATCACGTGACTGCAGCATCCTGGTTAGCCGAGTACAACACCACACATTTCAGATCTTCGATGTTCTTCAAAGGACCTTTACTCTCCATTTATGCTGTAAATGCAAATGTAAGCACCCTACCCACACTTTTTTCCATAAACCTTTTTAAATCGGCTACAAAACGCATGCTCTTGAACCTGCAGAGTGAAAATGACGATGACACGTGGCCTAGTTTCTTATTACATAATATTCCAGGTCTAAGAAGGTCACAACGTGTCTGAAAGTTACTGGACACAACGGTCATTATATCAGTTTAGTGAATTAGTTAATGAGTTAATTAGTAAATCAGTTATTAGTCATATGGTTATTATTAAGTACTATATATTATATGATATTACAAAAATAAACTATGAATATATATTTGCTCACAAAAAAACCAGAACAAACTGATCACAGACTAGCGGCAACTAATATTAATGGATAAGCCACACATCCTAAATTCCAGGTCCATATTTACACTGCCACATTCCCCACTATCACTATTTTCCTATCAGCACAAACCGTAATTAATTGATTTCGACAATCACAAACACTACATATCCAAACTAATGGCATAACATAGCAATATCTACGATATCCTAAATCAGTCCCTAACAATCTCAGCGACTCCAAGTGTTGAGATTGCCAGGCTGAAGCTGAGGGAATGTAGCATAAAATACCACTCAGATGCTACAGAAGACAACCGAATAGCTGTTCAAGAGGGCAAACAGAAGCTAGGCGATGCTTATCAAGCAGCCAAAGAGCACCTGCTGGAGGGGCAGGTCCGGGAACTGGAGGAAGCAAGTTGGCAGGGCAGACATGCTAAAAGCTGGACCATGATCAACAAGATCACAGGTAAAGCTCCATCATATACTGGCAAAATCAAGGGAAACTCACCAACGGAAAGGGTTCAGAAATGGAAGGACTATTTTGCTACTCTTCTCGGCTCACCACCGACGGTAGAGAACGCGGAAGAGGATATTGATCCAGTCCACCCACCTCTGAATATCGGAACAGAACCGTTTACGTTGGACGAGTACAGGAAAGCAAAGTCCAGCATAAAGGAAGGGAAAGCATGGGGTGACGACAACATAGCCCCAGAAGTCTTAAAACGATGCGACCTTGATCAAATTGTCTTAGACTTCTGTAACAATGCTCTATTGAAAGGTGAGAAACCAGACCAATGGTCAACTGCCAACATCATACCAATTCCAAAGAAGGGCGACCTTAGCGAACCAATGAACTATCGGGGAATAAGCTTGTCATCCCTAGTTGCCAAGTCTCTAAACAAGATGGTTCTAAACCGGTTGAAGCCAGAAATCGAGACAATTCTGCGTAGAAACCAGAATGGATTCAGACCAGGAAGGTCAACAACTCAACAGATATTGGTACTGAGACGTCTTATAGAGGGTGTCAAGAGTCGGAAACTGCCAGCTGTTCTGACATTTATAGACTTTAAGAAGGCTTTCGACAGTGTACATCGTGGGAAAATGCTAAAGATTCTAGAAGCTTACGGCATTCCAGTCAAAATCGTGCAGCTTATACGGCTCATGTACGAGAAGACAATGGCCAAAGTCCTAACTCCAGACGGAGAAACTGAATTGTTCGAGATACTTGCAGGTGTGTTACAGGGTGATACCTTAGCACCTTACCTCTTTGCAATAGTCATCGACTACTGTATGAGGCAAGCCATAGGCGATGATGCGGAGCGACTTGGACTCACCCTCGAACGTAGAAAAAGCAGAAGAGTAGGGCCCAAGATCATCACCGATGTGGACTTTGCAGATGATATAGCACTTATATCTGAGGACATGGACAAGGCTAACGAGTTCCTGCTCAGAGTAGAATCGGCGGCAGCAAGCGTGGGACTACACATAAACGAAGGCAAGACCAAGGTCATGACACTGAATATGGAGGATCGATCTAGCGACCTACAAAGTCGATCCGGGGAAGCCATAGAAAATGTAGATGATTTCATCTACTTAGGCTCCTGGATTGAGAGCACAGATAGGGAGATAAGGGTTAGAAAGGGAAAAGCGTGGGGTGCCCTACATAGACTGAAGGATATCTGGAAATCCAAACTCTCAAAGAGCCTAAAGATTAGATTGTTCATAGCGGCTTGTGAATCAGTACTGCTCTACGGATCAGAAAACCTGGACACTGACAAAGGCTCAAGAGAAAAGTTTGGACGGGACATACACAAAGATGTTGCGTATGGTGCTGGGTATCTCATGGAAGGACAAGGTCAGCAATATAACTTTGTATGGTAGCCTCCCAAGGCTGTCAAACAAGTTACGAAGCAGGAGATTAAAAATGGCGGGACACTGCATCCGACATCCTGAGCTACTTGCCAGTGATTTAGTCTTATGGGAACCTACGCACGGTAGAGCACAGCAAGGCCGACCAAGACAAAGCTACTTGTCTATGTTACTGAAGGAAGTTGGGACAAACTCTAAAGAGGAACTGCGAACCCTGATGCGGGACAGGGATATATGGAGGGGGTTTTCTGGCGTAGATCGGACTTAGCTCCGACATAGTAGTAGTAGTAGTAGTCCCTAACAAACTTAGCGCGAGTCTGAAAGGCTGTTGGAAGCACAGAGTGCTCCATATTTTGTTTTTATCAATAAACCTTTTTTTTTATTTTCTTTTTTTAATAAATTTATTAACTGCGTGCAAATTTGTGTTTCAGTTTTGATCTATTTATGATATATATCTATGATTATGTAATAAAGTTATTAATATTATATTCGTAAACATTGGCTGGCTTACAAACCAGTCCCCAAACGGTAAAAAACAAGCATGCCAATACGGAACATTATATCAGAAATTTAAGAAAAAGAAATGTCAATACTTTTTTTCAGGAAAAGTACATTTTCCTATTGTTCTGGTACTGTTATTGACAACGTAATTACTAATTTGATAATACAATGTAATATTACAATGTCTAGGGCAACGATTGCCCATCTTTCGACTTGAGCGAAACGTAGCCTGTGTAGGGTTCTCCATTTTCATTCGGAAACTTTGCCCTGATTTGGCTGACAACACATGCAGGGCAAAATATACCTCACATTCCTATCGAAATCTCGACATGATAGCATATTGATAAAGGTTCTATATGCCATGAAGCGTAGTTCCTTTTGGTTCAACTTCTTCTTGAGAAACCTATCTCTTTTATCAGGGTCTGTAATGTTCATTGAATACATGTACCTACTGTAAACTAGTCATCCTCACTGACGACAAGTTCTTTAAACATCCCAACCTGGCTGATGCACCGATGCTCTCCTCGATGCGCAGTAATGAAATGCGATTCGTTGCAGCAAACGTGCTCCTTCTCTGTGTCCATCAGCTTGCATTCCCCGCATGAACACCACTCTTCAACGGGACGATGAAGCCTGTCTTGATTTATGTTAGCGTACAGAGAGTTGTCAGACTCGGGTAGCTCCAGGTCCTCGTCACTTTCATATGCTGGAGGGTCGACCCATTCGTTATCACTTGGGTGATCTGAACCCGGCTGTAATTCTGGATAAAAATGTCGATAATCCTCTTTTGTGGTCTTTTGAAGACGACATCCACGTTCCCTCGTGTACGAGTTTGCCTGAGCTGGAGCATACGTATTTTATCGTCACCGAAAGGCACACGGTATAGCTGTCCAAGACCTTAGCACTACTCCCACATTCTGGACACCATTTGAACAATTGAAGTAGTTGGTTCACGGAGACGATCGCCCACCAAAAATCAGTTAAGATTTTCCTCTTATCTTTTTTCTTCCGGGGTCCAGATGGCTTGATTCGTGGACGGTGGGAGGAAGGGGGGGCAGTAGTCAGAGTCAGAGTCAGATTCAGAAGTTTCAAAGTCAGAATCGGAGTCTGATAGTGATGAGCTATTTCCATCATCAGGAAGCCAATGCATATCATCTTCACTATCACTATTATCATGTTCAGTTGGAGCATCGTTCAAATTAGGATCCTGATCCACCGTGTGGATTTCCGAGTATCCTGGCTGGGAGCTTCGTTTTCATTTTTCCGCAAAATCTTCACTACTGTTTGCCGCAGGCACTGTGTAGGGATACGCACTGGTGTCTATAGACGATCTAAACTCGTGCATTTCCTTCAGCACCCGCCGATTTATTCGTGCTCTCTTGCTCGGAATATCGTCTTGCTCCGAAAGGACTGCACCCCCAATGAACAGCTGCAACTCGTCCCTTTCTGGGTGGGTATTGGGAACAGCGTCTTCCCGAAGTCTTAGCCTTCATACGTTTTCTGTAGCCAGTTGTCTTCATGAAGTTAAAATCACCAAAATTATAATCTGATCACTGAAGTGGTCCGAACACACCTTGTAGTTTTCATTTTGGTCTTCGAAACATGTTAGGTTGTCGATTTATCCTCAGGTCCCATCTCTTTCTCATTTTGTCGTCTGTGGGAACGCAGTGAATATCAAAAACTGTCGTCCAGGCCGCTTACTGTTCTGACCACTTCTGTGTGTACAACCCCCTACCACACACGAAGAAGGCATCTTGGAGTCCGGATTCGTTGTAGAAGTTATACTTGTAGCTGCTAACAACCTTATATTTCCATAGGAACCACTGTACTGCAAGAATTTTTTTGGATGACAGGTTAATCGAATAATAATGCTTATTCTGATACGATATTATTTATAGAAGGTACACCGCGTTCAAAAGACTGTCGATCTCACGAATTTTACCACCCGGTATATTCAAACTTCGATGCTCGGGCATGGCACAGTAGCTCGGTTGAACGATGGATTTTTGCCATGCTGTAGGTACTTTTTACACGGTACCACATCAAAAGGTACGGTAGATATTGTTAAGTTAACACGGCAAGTTAGTATGTACAAAGAAAATACGGTAGATACTGTTAACCTTGAAGTTGACCCGATATTACATTGAAAAAGCACGAAAGAAAACAGTCCTGCTGTGAGAAAACTCGTAAACTAATACAGTAGTCACTACAATTGAAAAGCAATTGCCTAGTTTCTGATTT